CCCATTCAAAAGGCGCACGGCTGGTGCGCTTGGTTCACCTTTTGAAAAATTGCCGCTTTTTCCTTTTTTGGAGTCTGGCGGCTGGGTCGGGGGCTTCGCCCTCGGACCCCCATGCCACGTCCCTCAAGGCCAGCCCAAACAAGTCCATGTTAGGGTCTTAAATTCTTAGTTTTCACACAAAAAAACAATTATTTTATAGTTTTAATTGCTTTTAAGAAGATATTTTACTAGGATGAATGAATGGACAACATTACCAAATAGGGGGTTCTCGAAGTTTTAATTGCTTCGAGAACCCCCTATTTGGTAATGTTGTCCATTCATTCGTTCTAATAAAATATCTTCTTAAGAGCAATTAAAACTATAAAATCATTATTTTATGTGTGAAAACTAAGAATTTAAGACCCTAACATGGACTTGTTTGGGCTTGCCTCGAGGGGTGTGGCATAAAGGCGGCTCGTAGAATTAGGAATGTAATATGTCACATTAGCTACTTGATGCAATTGAGAAAAAAAGAGATTGTGGGTTTTATATGCTTGAAAATGTTTTATATGTTTGATTTCATTTTTAAATTCTTATTTGAATATGCTTTACATATTATGTTTATGTATTTTAATTTTAGATAATAGGTTTTTTAAAACATTTATTTTAAAACTTAAGTTTATATTTTTATTAATATTATGCTTTATAATTTTTTGATTTTTTAGCTTTTTTTTGCGCCTTGCCTAAAAAAGGCGCGCACCTCGCCTTGTGCCTTGCGCCTCAGGCGCAAAATGGCCCTTGCGCCTTTTGCTTTTAAAACATTGGTAAAAACTGAATACAATTCCTTAGGTTCCCTTAATAGGGCAGCCAACACTAAAGAACTAACAAAATAAACAAAAGAGGCCCATAACTAAAAGAACATAAACTTAAAACATTACTTAAAAAGAGATAAAACCACTAAAGCCCATTCGACCCATTCTCACTACACTCCATAGGCTACCTATGTCCAAACCTGGAATCTGTGGGATATTTGGCTTCTCCAATTTGCTCCATTGAGTGAACAGATGTAAACGAAAATCAAAATAAGGTTTTACTAGGCTAGATTTGCTGTTTCAAGCAAAGAACTGCTCTTCAATTACCCAAAACTAGGGTTTCACAAGACCAACCGGATGGGAGGAGAGAAAGTTCAAGCGCCAACTTCAAAGTGTTTCTAGGACCTGTAACAAGATTTCTCCAGTTATCTAGGGTTTTTGGGAAAAAATTCCAAGAACCTGCCCTGAGCTTCAACTAAGGATGAAAAACTCCACAAAACCTCTTCAAAAACCCTCCTAACTGGGCTACATAAGCTGCTAATTAATCGGCCGAGTTGAAGGTGAGAACCCACTTTGATACCAAGTTGTGAAACACACCTGCAGTAATTCAGAAAATATATAAAAGGAAAGAGAAAGAAAGAATGGAAGATTTCAGCAAAAGCTTGTGGAAGAAGAAGAGGAAGGATGAGAGAAGAGAAGATGTTCAATCCCCTCTTTAGTCCCCTCAAGATGTCTTTTATTTCTTAATGAAAAACTGAGTACAATTTCTTAGATGCCCTTAATAGGGTGGCCAGCACTAAAGACTTAAATAAACAAAAGAGGTCCATAACTAAAAGAGCATTGACTTAAAACATAACTTAAAAGAGATAAAACCACTAAGGCCCATTTGGTCCATTCTCATACAAAACCCAAATCTGGTTTGACAGATTACATGCTGACTTTTGATGCAGGTTCATGTTGCTGTTTTGGTTACCGGGTGAGGTTCTTCTATTAATGTTGTGGTAGCTCTCAGGGTCAAGGTTTACATTGAACTGCTGTCTGGATTGGCATTCCTGATCTGCATGTGAACCTATAAAATGAGAATTTTATCCATCATGGAGGAAGTGGACAAAGTACTTTGAGAATGATATCCCAACCCTTATGCTACTCCCATGGCATGAGTAGAGATCTATGTTGTGATTCAACTTACTAAAGCCTTGTCTTTTGGGTATTATTTTATATGATATGCTTAGAACTAAGTGGTTTCATGTAATTTATGAGAAGTTTCTACCAACTTGCAGCTACTGCTGTGTAAAAGTTGATAATGGTATATACAGGTTTATGGATCACAAATGGAACAAAAAGAAACAGATAACTAAAAGATGCAGAAAAGAATGAAGTTGTGTGAAAACCACAGTGGGTTGCAGGAACTACTATAAAAAGAATGTTACTGTAGTAAAGAAGTGGCACTAGTATCTTGAAGGAGATTAGCATGAGTATGTAGCTATCCGTTGGACAGAAAGTGAAGTAGTATATATGGATCCAACTGTTCTTTCCGACATCTGAAGCAGCAACAGAGGCATGCAACCAGGTACTGTCTACCTCAAAGCTTAGTTTGAATGTAACATCGTGCAAGTGAAGGTAATGGAGGGCTAGTTTTGTTGCAGGGGTGTTATTTGTTTGATTTCTTGGGAGATGTTGGCTGGGTTTCGATTGGTCTGGATATTTGGAGATGGTGTGTTGTTGTTTCAGGTGTTGGTTTTCTTTTTCCCACGGGTGACTTATTGTCACCTTTCTTGTGTTGTTCTTTTTCTGTTAATAAAATTTTTATTTTACTACCAAAAAAAATGGAGAGGTCCAATCAATAGAAATTTGCCAAACTGCATAAGGAAGATGGTATCTTTAAGCTTGGACAAAGTAGACAAGGAAATTCTACTGCTTGATTAAATGATTTGCACACTAAAATTTGAATTTCCCTCTAAATTCCATTCAACTAGAAAATTGAATGGATAATTTAGCTGATGAGAAAAGTCTAGCTGAAGATGATAATGATAAGGGGGAACCCTTGAATGCTGATATGGATGTTGATAGTCGATACCAAGATGAACCTGAAAAAGTTGAAAGGAAAAGATTCAGTAAAGCTTGGTTTTTCTCTCTCTTTGGGTGCAGATGCAATCCTCCAATCAACATACAGAGCCTATTTGTTCCTACAATGCTAGCATGGAGGAAGAAGAGGAGAAGGATAATGTGGAGGTGCATTAAAGCAGAGATTATTTGGACCACTTCAGAAGAAGGAATCTAAGGGTATTTGAAGGAAAAGACAGAACAAAGGAGGAAATAATTGAATGTATATCTATGAGGGTGACTTGATTAAATCTTCGGAGAGTTTCTTTTTTTGGTGGATGATATTTTAAGACTGGCAGGAAGTAGCATCATCCTCATCAAAAAAATAAAGCAAGAGTTGGGAGTTGGGAACCATCACAAGCAAGGTTTGTGAAATTAAATTTTGATGGAAGTAGCATGGGGAATCCTGGACCAACAGGAGTGGGGGTTGTTCTTAGAAACGAAGAAAGTTGTATTGTTGGAATGTCTCTAGTCCAATTGGTGTAGGAGATCCACAAGTTCCCAAGGTTTTGTTTTTTTGAAGGGAATTCATCTTTATAGCATCTATCCATTCAAGCATAGTCAAGGCTTTTGCTGCATTATTGGGAATAGAGATATTAGAAATAGCAACCAAAAAGCATTGAAAGGAAGATAAATATCCTCACATGAGGTAAAATTGGCTATGGGATGTTTGGTAGTACAAGTATGGACACCTTTATGTTTTGTAATAGGAATATCAAGGTCATCCACAAGAATGATATCAACAGGTTAAGAAGTGTCAATAGAGACAAGATTACCTGATTAAGAGAGAGGCATACTATCTTCCAGGTTTGCCTCTCCGGTGATGGTGTTCGTTGCATTCAAACCATCTACACTATTTGAATGCGGCTGATCCGTACAACATCATTTACAGAGGAACACACGAAGAGGATATGGGTCAGGAAGGGACGAATAAAAAATCTGCTCCTCCAAACTGTTAAGCTTTGCTAAGAAGTGGTGATTCTTTCTCTCTGCAATTCCATTTTGCTAAGAAGTTTTAGAACAAGAATTTCTATGGATTAAGCCACAAGCGACAAAGAATTCATTTATATCGTTTTTTAAGTACTCTTTCACGTTGTCATATTGAAATATTTGAATTTCAAAATGAAATTGTGTGAGCACCATATGATGAAAATCCTTAATAACTTTAGGTACTTCCTCTTTTGAACGTAGATGATATAATGATGTATGTCGTGAGAAATCATCAATGAAACTAATAAAATACTTGAGTATTGTTAGCCACCCTCAGAAGTCACAGAAGAATGCCCCCACACATTAGAGTGAACAATGTGAAAAGGAAAAGATGCTTTTTTATTAATTAGAGGAAATGATGCTCTAAATACTTATTTGATTGACATGTTTGACATTGTAATGTTGATAAAGACAGGCTTAAACAAAAATCGAAAATAGAATCTTTGAAGTTTCAAACGAGAGATGGCCCAGGTGACTATGCCACAATGTACTTGACTCTCATTACACTAACCCAAGGACTAACTTGAAAAACTTGTAGATGCGGCTGCCTCCAAACCAGCTTTAGTTTCCAACATGTATAGACCATCACCCATGTTCCTTCTACCAATTGTCTTCCCCAAGGCCAAATCTTGAAAAACACAAATGGGGAAAAAGGTCACACAACAATTTAAAGATTTAGTGACGCTACTAATAGATAAATGGTTGATAGGAAATTTAGGAACATGTAAAACATGAGAGGTTAAGACCCTGGGAGAGATGAATAAACCCTTGTCCAGCAATTGTGGAGAAATATCCATCTGCAAGTTTCTCTTTATCTCTACCAAGGAGAAGACTATAGGAGATAAAGAGAGAGGGCTTACTAGTCATGTGGTTGGAAGCCCCTAATTCAATAATCCAGGGGGAGTTGGAAGGAATAGAGGAGGCATGGAATGCAAAATTACCTGCCAAAAATGTAAATGGGGTAGATGGACTATAGTGGAATTCCCAATTCTTACAGGTCCTGAGTAGATTGAAAATACTTCACCATTGGTGTTCCAAAATAACCCCCCCCCCACCATTACCAAAGGCATTCTTGATAACTGGTAGAATTGAGAATATTGTTTTCTCTTTATGCAGAGCTCCTGGACAAAGCGAGCGGTAGAAGTTGACAGCCCACCACCAATGTCCCCGTGGGATCATGTAGCTGATCCTCCTGATATTACTTGTGCCCAGGTTATCCATCCAAAGCCTGAAGAACATGACAATGAGTGGTTTCATGTAACTGCAATGGAGTCCCAGAAAGAGGACAAACAACTTGGTAAACTTCTATTGCATTTAGTGATTTATCACTCTTTGCTTGTGATTTTCATTGAAATTGACTGTTCTTATATATGTTATTTTATTTCACTAATCAATTCTTCAGATAGTGTGGCAATGGGCAAGGACTTGGAGATTGGAGTATCCGGAAATCCAGAGTTACAACTTAAATATCCACATGAAAAAGTTGCCACCAACCTAACAAGCCCAAAGGAGGGCACATCATCTGAAGATTGCAAGAATGACAGTAGGCAACTAGAATTCGATGGCGAGAAGCAAGTTGGCAAATTGAAGGTCCATGCTCCTGATCTAATAGGTGGGATGACCAGTCATAATGATAGTCAGATGGAAACTGGAGTCTCTGAGGCTCCAAATGTCCTATCCAAGACCACAGAAATCAAAGATAAAACCATCTCTGATGCTAAAGGGTTACCATCACTTGAGTTGACCCTAAAGAGGTTGGGAGGAGTTGGAGATGTTGGGACCACTTTCCATGGTGATCGCAATATGAGGCATTCAGATCTTTCAGCATTCTCAAAGTATGGAGAAACCATGCCATATGATACTGCCTATTTTTAATGTTGTAAGCAAGATACTGAACAAGCTTGAGATTTGTCTGTTGCTGTGCAGGTACAATACTGCTTCTACTGCTAAGCAGACTGCAACTGCAAATGTAGGAAGTTGTTCTGTTCCTCTCGACAATAGTTCAGATGCAGTGAAAACTAATTCAGTACACAATATTCAATCTCAATCCAATACAACCCCTCCCAACCAGTGGTCCAATGGAAGCAGAAACAACAATGATATGGGCTCAACCACAAAAAATGTCTTCACTAGGCCAACGGTTTTCACTGAAAAGTTGGCATCTACATCAGCAGCCAAATATATACACCCCTCTGCCTTCCAACCTGTGCAGAACTCTTGCATTTATCCAGCTCATCAAGACATACATAACAGCGCTGATAATGCAGCTGGGAACATTGATATAGAACAAGCAAAGGGCTCATTCAATCAGATTCAAGTCCAGCACCACCATCACCACTACCATCACCATCACCACCATGTCCACAATGTCCAGCAAAAGCAGCCACTAGCAGATCATGATGATTTGTCCTTGAAGAATATGGCAGCAACTACTCCACAATGTGAGTCATCCAATGTGTTTGGTAGGCCTGCTGAAGGCAATGTGGGGAACTACAGCCTGAATAGGAGCGCTTCAGGGAGTAACCATGGTAGCAACAGGCAGAATGGGAGCACTACTCCTGTAAAGACAGATGGAATGAATGTGGAAAGTGACAATGGAATAGTTGGAAGGAAAGGAACTGCTGATGGTAGTGGTAGTGCTACTGGAAGTGGAGTGGATCAAAACCGCTTTGCACAGAGAGCGGCCGCCTTGACCAAATTCCGTCAGAAGAGGAAAGACCGATGCTTTGAAAAGAAGGTAACTATCTTTCAGGCATGCATTTACACTTACAAAAGCACAGCAAAAAATGGCAGCAACAAAGTTAGCTAAGTTTTATCCCAACAATTTGGAACCAACTCCACAACCCTATTCCATTCCATTCTATCTAAGGCATTTTTTGTTAAAATATTAAACCATCAAGTTCTTTCTTATTAGTAATCCTCATGGGAAGTTCAACAACATAGCTTAAGATAATCAGAGGTGCTTATAAGCCTTGTTAAATGAAATCATTTCATTTTCATAATGTTTGAAGACCGTTCTCATCTAGACTGGAGCTATTACTAAAATGTTGATGAAAATTAAGAATTAGTTTTCTTGAAATTTTAACGCTGTTTTTGGTTGCCTTTTTCCACAAGATTCCCTTCACTTGTTTTCAAAGTAACTTAGGGTCTAAGACAGCCCAAGTGGCCCTGTTCCTATTTTATTAGCATTCACTTAGGTTGTGTTTGGTTTGAAAGAAAAAGTAGGGAAAGGAAAGGAAAGGTAGGGAAACCCATACAAGGTTTGTAAAGGTTTTTCTACCTTTCCCTTCCTTTCCTTACTTTTTCCCTTAAACCAAACATAGCCTTAATGACTCCATTTGCATGATGCATTTGAAAATATAGAACTAAACAGAATGGAATGGCAAAACAGGATTCATGTGCGGATTCCGTGATGATGACTCAAGCAGAATGAAAAAACAAAATGACCCATTTCATTTCCAAATGCCCTATTAATAATAATTGTTACAAGTCAGTAAAAGTATTTGAACTGTCATACAGCATAGATGATACCAAACAACAAAGTTATACAGCATAGATACTCGTGAATTAGAAATAAAGCAATCCATATTGCAGAAGCGTACTGAGATTTTACATAATGGGACATGTTGGAAAATTTCCTCTTCTCATGTCAGCAAAAATATCAAAATATCAAAACTCAACCTCGATTTTACAAAAGGATTAACTACCCTTGACAGCTACAAAGTTTGAACTTGAGTTGGACACTTCTAACGCAACCTGGATTAACTTCACCACAAGAACTGACACAACAAATCATTCTTTTACTTTTCCACCTTTTGAGAGTCCATACATTTATTAATTTGATGTGATCAAAGTCAGCTAAATCATGCTAGGATAGCGGATTTGTACTTGTGCTTTCACATGGTGTTTCTATCCTCATCCTGTGATTTATTTTTTGTTTGTTTTTGTTATTACTTAAAATGAACTGGATGAAATCTCTTATGTATTTTGTCAGGTACGATACCAGAGTAGGAAAAGATTGGCAGAACAGCGACCACGTGTTCGGGGGCAATTTGTGCGACAGGCAGCACATGAAAAGACAAACCGAAACGTTGGTTGCTAACCTACCTGTGTGCTTGTGGTGCATGTGGAATTATGTACATGAAATTAGCACCCAGCTGTTTATGTAGGGATCAGTTCTGGTCTTTTAGATGTTGTGCTTTAGGATGTGGGGGGCGTGTGACGGGACTAATTTATTATTGCTTTAGTATATGCAGAAAACAAACACTTTGATGCGAAAACTAAAACTTAAAAGACATATTGAAACGCTCCGTATGGTTTGTGGAACTTTATAACTACCATTTCATGGAATTCGGCCACCCTCGGATAGTGGTCGCCTGGGAGTGCTTATCAGTGTTTGGTGAAAAAGTGTTTCTTTCTGATGGGGTAATATGGGTATTTTAAAAAATTATGTGTGGGCCAAGATGGGCCAGAAATTCTTAAAAAATGCTTAAAAGCCAAAATTTTGAAATTATTCAAAATGGGCATGTTTACAAGTCACATTATGGATATGCCTAACGGTTGGGACATTCTTTGGATGTAGGCAAAGATCTGGTTATCAAACCCATCAAATCCTCCAAAAGTTTGATTGGTATTTTCCTTCATGGTAGGAAGAGTTTGTCACTGTTAATAGATTAATTTGACAAAGGAGCCATCAACCTATCACGGCACTGCTTAAATGAAAATAAAGATAATAACTAATTGACATTACCACAGTATTCTTTCTTGGTCAAAAAAAATGTGGAGATCAGGACTAAATAAATTGCTCATGAAATTATAATCCATCAACTTTAACTTTAACAGGTAAAGCAACGAACAAAGAAAGAGAAGAAAAGAAACACGAGAGATGATGCACCCTTTGCCAAGCGCAGAAAAATTCGTAGAGAAAGAATGCTTTATATATAAACTCTTGTGTGTCCACGGGCAGAAGTGGCCATTCTTTTACACATCAGAAGCTAAGCCAGTCGCTAGGAGCTCTCCCTTTACCGCAATTTTGACAAGATATCTCATATCATGGTTTTCAAAACCGTGCTGAACTGGACCGGACGGTCAGACAGGAAAACCGGGAATCGGTCAATTCCATTTTCCCTCAGAACCACTTTTTTTTTTTTAAAAAACCGTTGATTTTGGTCAGAAAATTGCTGAACCGGCCGATTAACCATTCGAACGGTTTTGACCATTTTTCAATTTTGTTAGAACAGGCCAACCGTTCGGATTGAACGGTTGGACCGTTTGAATCGATAACCGGACCCCTGACCGGTTCGGTTTTAAAAACCATGTCTCATATTCCATCTCTAGAGTAAGTGTAGGGCTCTGTTATGATTGAACACAGATGTCTTCATGATTTAAGGTTTAGCTGTTTAACGGTTTGTAGAACCAATGATAAGATTCCATGCCAGTAATAAAATATAGGGCCCGCATTTTTACAGTAGGGCCCATAAATTTATTACTGACCTGAAACCTTATCATTGGTTCCACAACCCACTAAACAGCCAAAGCATTTAGCTAATCCCAATTCGTATAACTAATGAAGAGCAAGGAATTACTGAAAGGCATCTACTTCATGCTTTCCTCCAATAGCAGCTGCATCATCTATCATAATGGAAGTAGGCTTCATTGCTTTTCTCAGGTAATGCATCTACTTGGTTGGATTCCCCTATACAATTCAACCAGTTGAGCTTCTGAAGTTAGAATCCTACTAGCTTAGCTTGTGAAATGAAGAATTTCTTGTACTACAAGTGAAAGACCTCAGCCTCTACTCTACCTTCGTGGGACCTAGTGTCATAAAGTGGGATGTATGTCAATACAAAGGGGGTTTTGTTGTGACAGTGGGACCGGATCTACTAGGCACAATATAGTAAGCAATGTTGGATGAATACTTGATAAATATTTTGATAACTGTCAAAAGTGGTTTTTAATCTTTTTGAAGGATAGGTTTGAGGTATTTTAAAGAATAGGTGTCAAAAAATTTCTTAAATACTCATTGAACATGCTTACAACGTCGTGCCCACCTAATCCAAACTGACAGTTCATTCCCATATCATGATCTAATTTCTATTTACTAGTATTTACCTTATAATACATACTAGTCTGGAATATCATATACTCAAAACCCAAGAACCCCTGCTCCCAAAAATAAATAAATAAATAAACAAAGAGATAAAGACACATTAGTTATCCAATCCAAAAGCAGGTCACACCTGGTCTTCAGAATTTAAGCATATTACGATTATGTCTTTCTTTCTATTGAAGAGTCGGAAGGAAATCCTGCAACCATGGCTGTAGCAAATATGAGTACAACAATAATCAAGATTCAAGAATATGCCAAATTCAAAAACCGACGCCCGAATCAAGCTTAAGAGAGTACTTTCCTCGGGGCCTCATCCAAGGTAATATTCTATGCTGTCCATTTTTGTCTCAGACGCAACAACATTCAGTATATCAGTAGCACGTTCCAATGACCATGAGACACAGCCTATAGCCCAATGGTACAACCACATTTGGACAAGAGGATTAGATATCAAGGTTGGGAAAGGCTGAGCTGTTAAGATCGTTTGTGAAGAAGGTTTTGGTCTACGTGTGACCACCACAAAAATTCCTATTACAAATTTGTTCTGTCGCTATTGTACTGCGAAACTTGCCAAAGGATGACGATGCAAATAATATGATAACAAAACGCTAAGGACAATGCAGTAGGTCCTTTTCAGGAGGTATCTTAGTGAATGTACAACAGAAACCAACATGGCCTTAAAAATGCTATATTAATACTGTTAGGTGTGGATTCGAGTCGAGCTGAGTTGAATAGTATGAGATTCGAGGTCGGATTGAGACTGTTCTATAAGGCTCGAATTGAGCTTGAGTTTGAGCCAGAATCTTGAGCTCAAGCTCAGCTCGAGTAAAAACTTCACAAGTTCGAATTTGGCTCGGCTCGAGCTCGATTTTGAGAAAACATATTTTATAAAAATAAAAAATTATATATAAAAATATTTTTTTTATTTGATATTTAAAAATTAAGAATTATAATACATATATGTATAATCGGGCTTAGGGCGAGGTGGACAATTAACACCCCCACCTTGTCACCAATCACCAGAGTTTCAGGTATCCCCCGAAACCCACCATAAACCGGTCAATAGTTAAAGAAACACCCTAACTGAGGTGGGATGGGTGGAAAGCCTCAATGGGAGCAGGTTAAATGCCTCTATTGAATTACACCCACTAATGAATGATAAAGGCCATTATCTGGAAGCTGCATAGAAGTGATTTTGCTTTGATTTTTCAATGTCAGTAGGTTTATGATCAGAAACTACATGGTCCACATTTGTTGTTACTGTTGTCACAGCACTTCAACCCCCAAATGAAACACAAGAATGCCAGCAATGGAAATTAAAAGGAAGTTCACGTGATGCTTTGAATTTATTTCCATTACTGACTTCTCTGTATTTTATTGGGGAAATCATCACAAGGGAGGTTGCAGAGCTTAAGGCTCAAAAACCCCTTTTCTATTTAGTTATGGAGTTTTGGAAATATCTCTCTTTCATCTGGGAGTTTGGCTGATTGAATTCCATCTCTAATGGAGGATTTTTTTTCCTTTTATTTTTGGCATTTCAGACTCCTAGTCCTCTGTTTACCTTCTTGCCGTTTTGCTTTATCTTGTCGACTGCTGCTGCTTGAATTGAATGCTGAGTGTAAATGAAAGATTTTCACATTTTTAAGCTTAAGAAAATGGATGTGCTCTTGATTTATGAGAAGTAATTCATCATATTAAGTTACTCATTAACATAAATAAATTTCCCTTTTTTAAAGCTCATATATCATTAATCAAATTCATCAAATTGGGTATAAAGAGTCTTCCTCCAAGGAGGTAGAAATTAGAAAATTAGGAGGATTAGACCAAATAATATGATTATGATTGCACCATAAAGAGCTAGCTTATTACCAACCTCAATACAGGAACGAGGAGAATACATAACTAAGACGTGATTGAATTTCTCTAATAAGCTTATGCAATAGGCGATTGTCATTCACTCATTCTAATTCGCTAATTAAGGCCTTAAGGGGGCTCCATTCAAGCTTCCAACAGAAATCAGTTATTTTCTTAATAACTAATTTTGTTAATCCCAAGTTGAGGACAACATAGATAGGGGTGTCAATGGACCAGTTTTGTGTTGGATTTTGTTCAAAATCAAAATCAATTTGGACGGATTGGTTAGACCAATAAGATATTAAATTGGACCAGTTCAGACTAATCCTCTAAAGTATTAATTGGATTGGATTGGACTTGGCCCATCTGTAATGGATTTATATTGGATTAGATCGGGTTGAACCAATATCTAATCTATTGATAGAGGATAAGAATACAGGTGTCAATGGACCAGATTTGGATTGGAACCAATTTGAGAGACTAAATAGTCCAGACATTGAATTGGACCAGCCCAAAATGGTCCAAAGTATTTATGGGATTAGATTTAACCTGGTCTATCTGTAATAGACTCACATTAAACCAGATCGGATTAGACCAAATCTGATCCAATTGACACTCATAGAAATGGAGGCCTTCTAAGAATGCAGAGGCTTGGGCCTCTTCAGCTGTACAGTTCAAAAGATTAAAAACCCGAACTTTTTTACTTTAGTTTTCTATTGATGATTAGTCGATATCAGTACAAAAGTTGCTTCTTTATAGCGAACCAAACACTCCTAGCATTTAGGCGAACCAAACCTAGCATTTTGGATTACATTCAAACTGTAATCAATAAGGCCTTTCATGTAAAAATATTTATAGATTAATGAAACAACCTTTTATTTATCTGGGGTGTTTGGTAGGCTTTGTTTTTTGAAAACAAAACCAATCATGTTAATTAAACAACATTTTTTTTTTTTTATCTATGCTCTTGATGATGTCACAATTGTTTTTGTTTTCAAAAGCAAAATCAATCGTGTTATTGAACCCTAAAACAGGGGGTGTTTTGGCAAATACACATAGTCAAGGTTTTAAAAACTGATCTGGAATCGGAATCATTTTGGCTTCTAGGTCAACAGTTAGAACATCTGGTTTGAATAGACATCACATTCTAACAAAAAATTAAAAAACGGCCTAAATCATTGAACAGGCCGATGGTTCAGTTACCCGGATCAACAGGTCATTGATATTGACCAATTCTATGGTTTTTAGCCAAAAATCAAATTTAAGATAAAACAGAACCAATTAACTGAATGATTCCTGAATTGTCTAAATCAATGACAATTTCAAAACATTGCACATATTACGTAGAATGCATGTAAAGTAGGGATGCAGTCATGAAGATAAATGAATATTGTTTGCACATATCCACAAATAGGTATATTTATGTTTTCTTTTTGGTTGATACTCGGTAGGGGGTATCAATAATGCGGCTTTAGCCCCTAGAAGGGCCAAGTGCAAGGGTTAGTAATAGGACACACACGGGATCCACTGATACACAACATGGAGAATTGGAGATCCTGCTTTATATAGTTTGAATTAATGGACCATTCGGTCCAAACTCCAAATGAATCGACCCATGACAACTTAAAATATCAGAAAATTAATTAAATAAAAAAATCCCAAAACCATTATTCGGATTGACGGTTCTGAATCAGCAGATCAGTGACTAGTTTAATGATTTTGGGTAAAATAACAGTTTGGGGTCAATATTATAGATGCATTATGTTTAACTCTCACATAGTTCATTTTGGCATGTATAGATGTGTAACCGAGGCAAAAGAGCAGGGCGGACTCAATATTGTTCACACCGTTCTCACAATCATTTTCAGCCCTATATTACGAATATATATTCATAATTATATCTTTTTGTTCATGGGAAAATATTCTCAATACATGATTGCAAAGACCATAAAAATAGTGTAAGGATAATTTTATAAGAATCAAATCTGATTTGGCAAGTGAGAGAGATAGAGGGGCGTTGGGCTGAAAAATGTTAATTTGATATAAAAGTGGATTAGGCTAAGACTAATGCTATGTACCAACCTAAGCTTAAAGATCAAAATATCGATATCAGGTATTATATTGGATAATTCAGATACGAACACGAATACAAATACAAATATGCTTTAATATAGAAACACTTGCATAAAATTATTTGCAATAGAGACTTGTGATTGTATATTCTTTCAAATTATATATGGTGCATCTATCTATGCTATTCAAATGGTGGTACAATAGAATTATGTGCATAGAGGCTTCGGTGGAAGCTTCCAAAAAGTTGTCTCCCCAACATAGAGACATCTTTGGGTGTAATAAGGCCGGTCGCATCTCTGCATTCAAAACAAATAATAAATTATTATGTAGAATGCAGCCATGGCAAACACCCACTGACAATGGGCCCTCTATTGTAAGTCATTACTGATTGGGTTAGAAATTTTTTTGGAGGGTAGATCTCCTCCAAAGCCATAGGCCCCTCATTCAATCCACTACAACCAATTAGAGATTTTCCCCGGTGTTTTCAATCATCATTGATCCAGATATAGTTGGACTGTTTAGCACTGCTGGACAATTGGTTCTGTTTTTGGCCAATAACTATTGATTTGATCAATGATTCATTGATCCATTTGACACCGATAATGATTTTTGATCATTTTCTTATTTTAATTAATTTTTTAAACTTAAAATAGGCCATCTATTCAAATCAAATAGAACCCAAAAACTGGTGACCAAAGTGATTGGGTTTCAGATCGGTTTTTGAAACATTGATTTTACCAATAGGCGAACTGTCACCTTCGGTTTGGTTAGAGTGAGGGTTGAGGGTTTGATACATAGGTTGGGTTAGTTTTTAATGGATAAATAGATGATAAATTTTAAGAAAAGTTCTACTTTATTACCGCTGCACCCTCTGGAACAAACTCGTTCTACTGGGTGGCTCCAACTCATACATCTGGGCACTTCTGAATGACGGTCTTTGAGTTCCAACTCAGGTACGACTGCTACTTCCTCTGATTAATATCCTCCCTCCCTGTGCCTAGAGGATCTCCGCTGCACCACACTCCCACATATGCCGGTGATCGTCTTCTAGAGGATCTCCTCTACGTACTTGGACGGAATGGGGCTATTGGGACTTGAGAGGTTTACTATCAAATTCACCACACGTTTTCTCCACCATAACTGCCGAAAACCTTTGGCTTCCACCCATTAGACGTAACCTGAAAGAACATGGAGTCCTTAATTCTCGCTCCTGACTCGGCCTTGGCTTCTTCAAACCTGGCGTTGAGCCTGGACCCTGCAAACTCTCGGCGGGATACCGGAGGCAGGCCTACCTGGTTAAGGAAAGCCCGGAACTTGGGGTGCTCGAGACTAGAGAAGGAGACAGCACCGCATGACTCGTAGAGCCAGTCGGTGAGGAGGCCGAAGGCGGAGTCAATCTAGTTCTCGCTAAGCGTCAGGCCGAGAGACGCCTTGGGACTCTTGAGCTTCTTTACTCTGTCTTCCAGTATAGCGAGAGCACCCAAGTCCTCCTTAATTTCCGGCCCGACAACATCACATGTGGCTGCTCAGGTGGAGGCAAAGCCGTAGTGACACAGGAAGTCGCAACGCTGCCCGAAGATGACGCGCTACGCTTGCGATGGTTGTTGTGGTGGTGGTAGTGGGAGGAAGGGGAAGGGATAGAGGAGATGGGAAAAGGTGGCAATGAACAGTATTTTGTTTTCAAGATAATAAACAGTGTTTTGATTTCAAGGATAGTTTTTTACATTTTAAATTACATATGTGATAAGATAACTAACGAATCGTTAACGGTAGTGACTACTAACTTGACACTACCCAAATTTCAGGATATTAAAGTGAAATTTTTTCTAAATTTTAATAATCTATAAAAAAAATTAAAATTCTACATCAACGTCAACCCAGGAGATTAGAAAAACCGGACCAGATACACGGCAGCATTCACGAAACAAGCGCACACACTCGACAGTCAGACACTACACGCGCAGCTACCAGTCCACGTTGCATGCGTGGAACATCGGTTCGAGGGGTTGGTTGGCTGAATCAATCCACCGGGAGCGAGGGGGTTGAAAAGGGAGAGGGACGCCATCCTCCCCACCCCACGTGCTGCCATCACACTCCCTCACGTCCCAACAAACTTTCCACTCCCTACCTACTTCTCCAATCTTAGCTACATGATAAACCCTCCACCCATCTCTCATTTATTTTTTTATTTTTTTTCTAATAATAATAATTTCAGAGCATTTCTTTCCGTAGCGACGAATCCACTTTCCTGAATTGAATCCACCTGACACAAGCGCAGTCCCCCTCCCCCCAACCCCAAATAAATGCTCGGGTCGGGTTTAACAACTTTGAAGCAGAAATCCATATCCGAAAAGCGGGTCGGGTAATTCTTTTTTGCTTTTTTTACAGAGTAATTTGTTTGATTTTTTTAGGACATTCATAAAAATCCCGTACTCCAGGGTTCTGGCTCAGTCTCAAGGCAAAGCCCAAAGCTCAACTACCGAGTAGTTATCCGAACGTGGAAGAAGTCGAGGGAGAACGGTTCGGATGAATTTACAGCTTTATCCCCGCGTGGTGAGCGTTTTGTTCGGCCGACAAAGGGGCCTAGAATTGTAATTTCAGCTTGGTTTCAGAAAACTAGCAGTCAAAGAGACGCAGAGACAGTTAGTTGCCCGGTGTCCAACAAAGCCAAATGCACACTCTCATGGTCTCGTTTTGAGGGAAAAAAGAGGGGAAAAAATTATTCAAGAATGATGCCCATTGCCCAGATCACTTTTCTGTTCAAACCCTTTTTTCTAAACTTTTTTGGGATTCTTATATTCTTTTGATCTCCTCTTTCTTTTTTTTTTTTCATTTAAAAGGTTTTCTCGACTCTCGAGCAACTCCGCTACAGATAAACAATAACAAAATAAAGATAGAATCGTTTGGAATTCCTTGTTTTCTTCTTCTCCAGCTGCCTTTCTCTTCTCTCTTTGCTTTAAGAAAGCCAGAAACCAGAACCACATAACCAGAGGTATGGCTTCTATTTCATGCACTTTTTTCTTATAAATTTTGTGCCTAAAGCCGTACTACTTTAGTGACTTTTTTCCTTCTATCTCAATTTTAAGGCACTGTTTTCTTAAACAAAAGCGACGAAACCTCTGTTGTAAGCTTAGCTGGTTTCAATATGTTCAGCTGGTTGGCTCAAAAAGATTCTATCTTCATCAGATTTATCATCTTCTCTTATCGTACCTTCTTTGTCTTCTTGCAGGTTTTGGTAATGCAGAGGGCCCGGAAGCTATAAAATGAGTTTGCAAATCCAGTTTCATGGAAATCAACCAATGGAAGAGATTATTAGTTATTGCAAGTCTGGTTAGTGAACACTTCTTCTCTTGCGACTTATCGTGTTATCTTCTGTTTGACTGAAATTTGAATGTACTGAATCTACTGATGATGAATTTGGGACTTCTCTTAGGTGATTCAGTTTGCTAAACTTTCAGTTTTTGTATTCTGGCATGTTTTTTTTGTTCCCTAAATTTGGTATTATTGCTATTGTTAATCTGGGGTTACGTGCTTACTCTTGCCGTTGCAGTTAAAATCAATTTCTAGCCTTACTTTCAGAAGAAAAGTAAAGCGTTCAGTTTCATTTTCTTGTCTTCTTTTTGGATTGTGGTCAGGTCACACAGGTTAGTGCATTTTTCTGTTGTATCCATTGATGGGTGCAAAATCATTGGGAAATCTATTCGACCCTAATAATTTGAAGTATTATTTTGTGCGTAAAACATGGGATTAATAGATTTGAAATGTTTACCCTATTTAGGTTGGCATATAACTAATGTATTCTTTTGGTTGAGAAGGCTGCACATACTTCAACTTCAGTGACTGGTGATTGCTAGCTTGCTGCATCCTTCACTATTTAAGTGACCTAGGAAAGGGACTTGGAAGTTGAATGACAGAAAAAGTTTCCTATTGCTGATATTCATTGATGTCCAAGAGAAGTATCAAGGAGAACTAGAAGAAGGATGTAAGAGTTTACAACAAAGAGGAGATAGCTATAGTTGTAACAGAAAGTTGGCTCATGTAGGCAATGAACAACCTACGAGATGCTTGTTAGCAAACATGGGGCAAATAGGAAAACAAATTTGAAGAGCTGGATTTTGTTTTTCCTATACAGTCTTGCACCAACAAGTGAGCACAAGTGGTATGACACAAGGGTTTGAAACTTGCTTTCAGACAATTTGTATGATGCCAACTTAGGTTGGTGGCTTGATATGTTTACTTGTTTATATCTATTATTGGTCAGGATCATTTAGGATGTTGATTCAACCCTAACCATTTAAGGTGCTACTTTTGTCTTTAATGCATTTCCTGTAACATTTTTTAGGTTGGAAGTTGATGGATTTGGTTATTTCTTTCCTATTTGTTGGTTGAGAAATAGAATCATCTATCCTTCAAAATCAGTTTGGTCAGATGCTTACTATTGCACCCTTAACTATTCAAGTCTCCTCGGAAGGACTTGCAAGTTGAAATAACAAGTCAAATTTTTGGTATTCAATGTTTTTAGAGATTGGAGACAAGTAAAGTAGAGATGCAAGAACTTGTAACAAAAGGGACATCATTCTGGTTGTGAATGGAGTTGCTTTGTGTTGTAGTGGATTAATAACCTTTGGGAAGCTTGTTGGACGTCAGCTGTAGTTGTGGATGGGAAGTTGTCCGGTCTTGAAGTGATGGATGAATGATAATGGGGATGTTTGAGCATGGAGTTAGATAGGCAGTCTGAATTTGAAATCTAGATGACTGGGATGCTGTTTTTCTCGGGTAGTCTTGTCCCAAAAGCAGAGTGCAAGAAGAATGCTGCATCCTTTCTGGGCTTGCATATGGCTAGATTACCCACGAATTCTTACATGTTAAGATGGTTGCAGAAAAGGGCTCTACATGTTCATTTGCTGTTCATGGAACAAGTTTTTATCCCAGCAACCTGTGAACCCATGCCACCAGGGTAAACTAGAGCCATTTTTAATGTATTATTTTAACTAAAAAAGTCAGCTTTCAATAACTGGCATTGGTTGAGAAAAGCTTCAATTAAGTGTTACAGCACAGAATCATGTGGACTAGAGGACTCATGATGTGCATATGCGGGGTATTGCTACTAGTTATAGCATATCACTCAACCCTGCAGAGCAGAGGACCTCAACAAAGAAAGCCACCAAGAAAATAGAACCACAGTACCACACAAGGATACAAATCTTACATGGTTTGGCCTTGTGCCTGTATACATAAGAGAGATCAACTTATTCTTCTCTATGGGAAGGAATAAAACCAAAAAAGATTTCTTGTGATTTTGAATTTTAAAACCACTCCTAAAGCCTTTGTACACCTATCTCCCTTTTATCTCGCTCAAAACCCAAAAAATGTGACAATCAAAATGTGAAAACCATTTTTTATTTTAAAACCACTCCTAAACCATTTTTAATTCCCATGATTGTGATATTTAGCTAAATGGGGATCCATGAAAGCATATGCGGTTGTATTGTCTTAAAGAGAGAGAAGGGCTTAGAGGGCTTGTTTTTCTAGTTGAGAATGAAGTTATTCCCAAGACCTTGATGGGTGACTGGAACTGGTGTGAATGGAATTGTATGACCCTACATAAGGTATCTTTCATAGTTGGGTCAGAGACAATATTTACATGTTTCCAGGATGCAGACAATGATGAGGTAATAAATCCTGTTGGTAGAGAAAAAGGTTCAAGGTCTCTCTTTGGATGTGACTAACAAAGTTGACTCAAAGCAGCTAAATGTGTATTTGTGTTTACTGAATCAGGTAAAATTAGGGCTCAGTAATTTGAAGTTGTATTTAGCTGCAACGGTGTTTTTAAGGCTAATGGGTGTTAACAAAGAGCTGGGGATGGTAAATGGAGATCTTCAAGGTGTTTACAAAAGAAACTAAGGTGGAGATTGTTAGAGTTAGTCTCTTGTTTCTCATATGTCAGCTATGGTTTCCTTTTCCGTAAAGGAGAATAAGCTGTGGACTTGCATAATTGTAAGCTTATTTTGTAATTGCATCATCTTTGGGTTTCTAAAAATAATATTCTTAACTGTTATAAAAAGGGGTGAAAGAGTAAAACTGATGGAGTGAGGAAGCCTCATATGCATAGTTACCATACAAGGGGAGTGAGAGTGGTTTTGTTAAAATTATTTTTAGTTTTTGTTAGGTTCATTCTTTGGGTTTTAATAGAGAAGAAAGGGAGAGTTAAGGCTAATTTTGAGATTTAAATCCAAAGGGAATCTTGTATTTTCGCTAGATTGAAGGTAGGTTTATTTGGGGTCGGACCAAAAAAGAGGGTGAAGAAGACAAAGAAAGTTATCTAGAAAAGAAAAGAGGCGTGCGATTCAACCATTGGAAGTGTTGTGTTTTTTTTTTTTAATGTTTTGAGGCAAATTCAGGGTGGATTTGGTGTTTTTATTGGGGTTTGGGGGGTCAATTTCATTGTGTATCATTGTTCGGGTCTCTGGTTTTAGTGGTGGGTTGGGGCCTCTTTGTGTTGTTTCTTGTGGGATCCGGAAGGTTATGTTTAAGGGTGTGGGCTGTATGTTTTGTTTTTTCCTTTGCTGGGTGGTTACTTATCACCTTTTGTAATCTCTATCTTCTTTTTCTTCAATAAATTTTATTTTTTATTTATCTTCAAAAAAATCTTGTATTTTCCTCCATTGTTTTATCATAACAAAAAACATGTCAATCTCTCCCGTGGATGTAGGCTCAAGGCTGAGCCATGTAAAATCTGTCTTCTTGTGAACTTTTCTTGGTATTTTACCTTGTTGAGGTTCTTTACAAGATTGAGAGATGTGCATAACTTATATTAACACTTTGTCTGTGCACATGAGCATTTCTATCTGATGGATTACCTGGATTGACCATTCTCCATGTAGCTAAAACAAGATAAGCTTCTAGAAAAATGCTAGCCATTTAGATTTCTTCACTAGATCTTTCCTACCACATTGATGGAATTAACTGGTTGGCTTGCCATATCGATAGAACTAGTCATTAGTCAGTCTAGTTGACCTGGTTGACACTTAGTTTTAGGTGACTGCATCATAGGTAGTGTTTTAAAAGCACAAGGGCCTTCTAGTACCCAAGGTGCAAGGTGCAATTTATAAAAAAAAAAACAAAAAAGTAAAAATATTATAACTAATAATAATAATAATAACAATAATAATGATGATAATATATAAAAAAGATGAGAACTTGAATTTAAAACGAATCAAATGTTTTGAAGTGAAAATGTGGAAGTGAAAGCAAACATATGTGGATTGTACCGAAGTGCTTCAACCACTCAACAATTCAAGCATGTAAAACTTTCAGTGTGTTTATTTGCGTCCCATTTGCATAGTGTGATGTCAAACATCTTGTATTCCTAATCTAAGAGACTGGCCATCCACCTCTGTAAAAGGTTCCCTGAGGTAAGCCCAATTAAGTCCATGTGGGGATTTGAGGCAGCACTCCCAACCTGAGTTTTGGGCCTGAAAATATAAATACTTTGTTCTTTTGGTAATGCTCTTTTTAGCCCTTCGATGCTGGTCTTCTTTTTATTAGGGTCTAACGTTACTATTTGGCAGGATTGATGGAATTGTCAGAGCCAACAAAACCAGAATCAACTTCCTGAAGGGCTCTAGTACTTTTTTATATCAAGTTCCTCCTCCCCTATAATTTCTCAATCTAATATGACAATGCGTGGATCCAGAGTGGTTGCTAACTGGTTTTCTTAAACACATTGGTTTAGTTGCATTCCTTGACTGAAAAAAACTCTTGAAGACTGATCTGTCATGTCTGCTGAAATGGAAGTTAAAGATTCAGAGAGGGTGGTGATAGCTAAACCTGTTGCTTCAAGACCTTGTTCCAGTTTCAGGTCCTTTTCAGAGCTTCTTACCAGTGCAATTAATGCGTCACCTTCTGGTGCATATCCTGAAACAGTAGTTGCTGCCATTAGGCCCAAGACAGTGAGATTCAAGCCAGTGGCAAATCGTGCTCCAATTGGGATGGTTCCACCCCAGGTGGTCTTTTTAGTTTCTTGGCTTCCTTTTGGATGTTGTTGCCTATCAAATGATCAGCTCTACTAATGTGTTTAGATTTTGACCTTTTGCAGGGTGAGATATCTGGAACAGCGGTTTGTTCATCTGAAAAGGTTTCAAAACCGGAGAGTAAATCTACTGTGGTATACAAACCTTTGGCAAAGTTTGTTTCAAGGACAACTGCTTCTCTCTTGGCAAACCTGGTCAGTATGCTATTTATTAGACATCTGATTTTCCTTTAGAGTTGGTTTGGATTAGTCCTATACTTCAGGTTCTTTGTGTTTTTGTTTAATTAATCCCCTGCCAAAAACACAACAGAAATAGAATTTGCTTCCCAGTTTGAGAGATTAATTGTTAACAAATTAGAGTTTGTCCTGGCCAGGGAAACTTCTATGTCAGTCACCAACAAACCCCATCAGAGATCCAGGCCCAGACTCAGCATGGAGAGAAAGCAAATCACCCTTCAGAAAATCATCTTACTTCAAATCCTTACCTGAAATTGCCATCACAGTTGGAAAGAGAGATAGTTGAGCCCTCAAAGATGGTTTCGCAGAACCCAGAAGAGAATCAGAGAGCTCTGCCTGCAACAACTAGTGGGGATCGTCCTTCTTATGACGGCTATAATTGGAGAAAGTATGGGCAAAAGCAAGTGAAGGGTAGTGAGTACCCAAGAAGTTACTATAAGTGTACACACCCAAACTGCCCTGTGAAAAAGAAGGTTGAAAGATCATTTGATGGACAGATTGCAGAAATTGTATACAAAGGTGAACACAATCATCCAAAGCCTCAGCCTCCAAAACGGCAATCATCAGGGGGGCAAGGGCAAGAATTTGTTTCTGATGGGACTGGTCATGACACCAGCTATCATTTATGGAGTAACACCCATAATGAAAGGACGGAAGGATCTGAAGGTAGAACAGAGAACCAGAATGAAGTAGGATTGTCAGTGCATTCTACTTGTCTAGGAAAAGTTGTGACCGCTAATAATCCACTTAGTAGTGGTGTTGGGACTCCTGATAATTCTTATGGCCTTAGTGGGGACTGTGAGGAAGGAAGCAGGGGAATGGATGCAGAGGACAATGAACCTAGGTGTAAGCGACGGTAAGATTTCAACTAAATTCTTAAAAACTGGCATAGGAATTATATACAGTGTCTTCTCATGGTGCAAGACTGCTTGCTTCCTCGTAGCAGGTTCTGCTAGTTTGAGAAATTTAAATTCGGTAGTCTTGTTAAAAGGTTATATTATTATGCTCTATAAGCACAAGTTAATCTGTTGCTTTTCTCATTTATGGCAATGAATCAATTTCCTCATTATATCTCCCATTATTGATCATGATAAAAAATTGCACCTTCCATATTCTGTGGGTGAATACTATTACTGGTGTTGATTGTTCTCTCTTTCCAGCAGGAAGAATGATTCTCAAGCCAACGAAATAGGTATACCAGGTGAAAAGGTAAGAGACCCCAATGTTGGGGTGCAGAGTTCCACAGATTCTGAGATCCTAGGTGATGGCTTTCGCTGGCGAAAATATGGCCAGAAGGTTGTGAAGGGAAATCCATATCCTAGGTTAGTACTTAAACTTCTGATTTTCTTAAGATGCTTATTCTTTGCTGACATAAAATTGCTAGGTTTTCCTTTCTTCTATTTCTCCTTCCAAGTTGAACACAGTTTCTGCTGTCATCCATTCCACTAATGCTTGTTGAGATATTGATCTTGCAGAAGTTACTATAGATGCACCAGTCCCAAGTGCAATGTGCGCAAGTATGTTGAAAGGGCATTGGATGATCCAAAATCTTTTATCACAACATACGAGGGAAAACATAACCACGAGATGCCCATTGCCAGGAACCTGAATCCAGTGGCTTCTGAACCAGATATGTTGCCTCCTAACAGAAGGCCATGACTTATACAGATGATGGCTATAATTTAGCTATCAGTAATCCGACATGAAAAACCATGTCAGGAAGCATTTGAAGGCATCAGAAATCTACAATTGTCCATCCATCATCTTTCTTACAGATGCAGAATACATGTTACTATCCGGATGACCATCGTGCTTGCTGTTTAGTTCGATATCATAATCTTTTTACTGTTTTATATTTAATTTTTCTCCTTATATGAAGATGGTTTTATTAGAATTATAGATTCATCAAATAGATGAAGTATTTTTGCTGCTTCTCTAGTTTTTGGGCACCTGACTATTTATCTGATGCAAGGATTTATTGTTTACTGTGATATACCGTCCTTGGAGCACTTTAATATACAGGTTTCTGGTTTGTATTCTGCATTTCTAACTGGAGGTTTTCTACATCAACCATTTTACCTTTTTCAGGCTCAGTACTTCAGTACAGCAGATCAAATTCTTCCTGTGATTACCCGGGTCACTATTCGCTTTCTTCTGGATGGCATTTCAGATGTGGATAGTTTGATAAAAGCTCTTTTTACGTATACTATTCATCATCAATGTGCTGCATGTTTTTCAAAAATATACCATATTCCCATATCAGAACGCAGGCAAGTGTCATGTTTAGATGTGCTGAATAGCTTTTCAAGCTACATACCATGGTCAAGCGTTTGTCTCCAAAACCGAGAGGCTCTGTAACATATGAAGCTGGAGCTACAACTAAGATGATTTGCTGTTTGTAGATCGAAGATGAATACTTTATTCATGGTTCTGTCATTACTGGGAATAATCCTGCATAATAAACCCTGTGAAAACCCAGAGAAAATGACAGATTTTTTCAAGGAAAAGACGAGCCCCATTGATTTACAAGTTACAACAAATTTCTTCCGGCCTAAAATGAAAATCATCATGCTTCTGAAGTACTTAAAAATGCATCTAGCATCTATCAATATTGATCCGAACGATAGATTCGCGCGGAAAGAACCACAAACATGAAAAAGTTTCTGGCACCCAAGAGCCATCTGAGCCTGGATGGTAACACGTAAGCACAGAAGATGTTCCCAATGTACAGTTGTAGTGTCCTGTGCATTGGATCGTTTTGGGTAGATCAGATTGAGGCATCTCTATATGAGGAAAAGGTATAGCAATTTGACCCACTGACATCCACCCCACCCTGGTTGGGGTGGGTTTTTTTACCATGATCGGGTTTGGGTGGTTTTGAGAGAGAGAAAGAGAGAGTTTAGATAAGTTTTTAAATAAATAATTAATTTGTATGTAGTAATATTGAAGCGGGATGGGGCAAATTCAGGGATCCTGACACATTATAATTTAGATAAGTTATCAAAAAAATATATAAATTTGTATGTAGGAATATTGAGGTGAGGTGGGGAAAATCCAAGAATCCCAACCCCACGGAGGAATGGGGAAGAAATTGAAATTTCTAGCCCTATTGGGGCACCTTGCCCTATTACCATTCCACAGCCCACTATACAGCCATTGTGATTAGTTAACTCCTCTACATGTCCAATTGATGCCAAACCAAGTAGTCCCACCATTACAGAAACGGCCCCCTTGAACTTCTTCACATGTATATGGCCACCATTTTGATCATGAAATCTTCGCATAACATCTATCTGTGTGACCATGTTTTGATCGAACTCAGCTTCGGTTAGTGCAAGGTCTGTTCGAACAGCCTTTATAGCCTTGCATTAGGTATATCAGCCCATGAAATAAAGTATATAGGTACAGAGATATTTCCAATGCAAGGCTGTAAAGGTTGTTTGAACGGTGTTTGAATGGCCTTCCATTGACTGAAGCCAATCTTGTTTTAATCATCATCTGTTGTGCTTTAATTGAGCTCGGGTTCAGTTAGTGCAAGGTCTGTTCGAACAGCCTTTATGGCCTTGTATTGGGAATATCGCCCCATGAAATATAGTATATAGGTACAGAGATATTTCTAATGCAAGGCTGTAAAGGTTGTTTGAACGGTGTTTGAATGGCCTTCCACTGACTGAAGCCGATCTCGTTTTAATCATCATCTGTTGCACCCAATGTCCGAACCCACACCAGCTGCTCCATAGAGACGTTTGAAATTTGAAAATCTTTAAATTAATAAATTTACATAGTGAATCATTTTATTTGTTCCAGTGCATTAGCCCTAATCGCTAATTTAAAAAAAAAAAAAAAATCAACTAACCCACTAAGCCGCGTGTTTTCAATGTCAGAGGTTATATTCCTTTATATAAATTGCAGTTCAACAGATAGTAACTAATTTAAAAATTATATGTAATAATTTATAAAACATTGCTTTTAGGGCACATTTATTTTTTAATAAATTTAGATGTATCCAAGTCTTAGGGGAGATCCAATCAGCCCCCCACAATGTCCCACAGAACATCTCCGCCGTGTATCGGTAACATCTCCCAATGATGACATCATCATTTTTAGTATTATCATCGTGAGATGTTCCCAATATACGGCAGGGATATGCTGTGGGGCGTTGTGGGGGGGTTGATTTGAACTCATCTTAAGCTCTTAGCTAAAAATTAAAAAGGAAAATGCATTTGGTATCAGTCCAAACAATGTAAACATAGGAATATTTTTTGACTATGATATCTAAAAACATTTTGACCAATCAACTGATATCATGAACATGACAATCAGATGTTATTTATCAAAATTCATGGGTAGATTTTGATTGGTCAAAACTCTTCTAGTACCATGTCTTTCCCGCATCATATATTTTCCCATGTTTTTGTTATGTTTCTGGTTATAACGTTATGAATCCATACAAAATGTCATATAGGCTTCAAAAAGAAAATACAAAATGTCATATAAATGATTTTACTTTTGACCCAAAAATGATTTGGGCACACCTTGGTTGATTTAATTTGATATGAGCAAACCACACTGCGGTTGATATAATTTGATATGCCCACACCACATTTTGCAACCCTGATCCTGTCTAATTATAAGGGTTCATTTATAAATAGACTGGACCTAATCCAGTTCAAATCCATATAAAACAAGTCCAAACAGGTTCAATTAAAATAAAAATGGATCCGAAGGGTCCAAACTAATCCAAATTGAATGAAACATAAAAGATTAAATGAAAAACTCAGAAAAGATTTAAAAACTACAGAAATATATTAAAAATATCACAAGAATATAAAAAATGGAATATTAGGATCAAATGCTTTAATTCCAAGTAGTACATTGAAAACTTGAAACAAAAGGAATGTTCTCATTTCATAAATGTGTGTGCGGGAGGATGAATCATCAACTGAAATTTATGGAATTCAGAATGAAATTTAAGGAATCGAATTCTTGGAATTAAACTTTTGAAATCAAAACCCAAATTGCAATTCTTTCTTTTTTTTTTCTTTAAATATCAAAATGCGATTGATTTCCAACAATCTACTCACTATTCTACCATCTATACTCTATAGTATGTTTCTCCATAACGACTCTTCCCGCAACAGCTGAATCAGCAGAAAACAACAGGCACGACATGTGGTCATATCCTTCACGATCACAGCTTCTACTACTTCTCCATAAAATTTGAAATACTCCTTGACACGATCTTCGTTTGTGTCACAGGAGATTCCACCTTTGAAGAGTTTTCCGAGATCCATTGTTGCCTCCTGGGAGAAGATCAAGAGACAATGAAACGAGAGATGCAGAGCAAAACAAAAGCTAAAATCTCACCGATTAAAAAAAAAAACGGATGTGAAATCCAATCAATGAGGCAATCTAAGATCTGTCATCTGAGAGTATGCATAAGAAGAACAGATGGCGTGTTCATCCTCCTCCAAAAGCCCCTTTTTGCCCTTCTCTTCTTTTCATTCCTCCAATTCGGTTGGAACTTGGAAGGAGAGAGACGTTGGGGAGTTGATTCTTTGTTCTTCTTCTAATTTCGCCGAGAGAGAGAGAGAGAGGCGGTTGGAGCGTGGAGAGAATTTGGAAGTTAAGGGACCTGCACCTAGTTGTATCGGTCCATCTCGTTTGGACCGGTCCGACTCAATATGCAATTTCTTGGACCGTTTAAATCATATTCAATCGAGTTGGGTCCGATCCAAATCTGGTCCCTGGTCCATTGACGGTTTATGGGCAATTTTTGCAAATCGAACCGGTACCACTGGGTTTTCCATTTCTCCAATTGAAACCAAACCGGTATCACTGGTTAACCAGTTTGCCGGTTTCAGTTTCTTGACCTATTCAGTTCTTCGATTTTTTAGTTTTTATATTTATAATATATTTATATAAATATATGTATAATATTATGCTATAAATAATAAATTATATATAATATATTATAAAAATATATAATATATTTATAAATATAATATATGTATATATTTATATATATAATGTATATATTTATAGAAAATATATAAAAAATATGTGGCATATATTAAAAAAATATATAAAATATACATATATATATATATATATATATATATATCAGTCAGTCGATTAATTGCCGATTTTTTGTAGGTTAACCAAAAACCAAACCGATACTTTAGTTTTTCAAAAATACCAAACTGAAACCAAATCAATCAGTTCTATTAACCACATTTTCCGATTCAGTATTTTGGTCTTTCGATTTTTCATGGACACCCCTAGTATTGATGATAAGTAGGGTACCCCATGTATCAATACGCATGCAACATTCACTTTGCAGCATACCCTATCCTATCCCCCTATTTGAATAGTCTTTTTTTTTTTGTAAAAAAAAAAATGAATAGAAATTTGATAAGACTGAAAAAATACTTTATATACATGCCAATTAATAATAACTATATATTTAAAGAAATTAGAATGTTTAACAAAAAGTCATAAAATATCAATCAATAATAATAGTTTTGTGGTGTTTAGGTAATTAATAATTATGACATATACGAAGCAAAATAAGTGATATATAATTAATACATTTATTAAAACAAAAAGAAAATACATAATTTTTCATGAATATATTAACTTTAGTTTTAAATTGTGGTGCTATCCAAAAAAAGGTGAATAGATTTACTGTAAGGACAAAATAAAAGCTAAAAAGTGGAACACATGAGTGACAAAACTTCCACATTTGAACAATCCACCCAAGCTTAACCAAACACATTCAAACCCATTACAAGTTGTGTTATGTTTAGCTAATTAAGGTGGGCTTGGGTTGGTAAATTTGGGTTTTAACGTAACCTTGATTTTGGTACTAGGCATGAGGTTCATGTCTTAGGGTTGGACCTTAACCTGACCTAACCCATCAAATTTGTACCTCTACTTTATTACACAGTTAAATAAGAATTCAAAGAGATTTAATAGATAAAGATGGATTTAACAAGGGAGGAGAGATTACAAACATTGGCAATTGAGGTGTGTTAAGAAGAATTTCAT